GAGGAGGGTGCTAAGCGGAAAGTGGGTTTTCGCCTGAAAACCAACGCTGACGGTGCCATCGAGTGTTTCAAAGCACGTTGGGTCGTACGCGGGTACGACTAGCGCCATGGCATTGACTTCGATCAAACCTTCACTCCCGTCAGTCGTCACACCTCCGTCAGGATTCTACTCGAAATTGGCGCCGCCAAGCTCCTACCACTGCGACAGATCGACATCAAGAACGCGTTTTTGTACGCGCTGGTGGATGCAACCATCTTCGTGGAACAGCCACACACCTACGGAGAAGGAGACCCCAGGGTCTGCCAGCTGAAGAAATCCCTCTACGGGATAAAACAGGCACCGCGTCTCTGGCAGCAGCACCTACAAAAAATCCTCCTGGAAATCGGATTCAGGCAGCTGCCGCACGACCGGGGAATGTACCGCCTCCACTTCAACGGCGATTACATCCTCCTAACTGTCTACGTTGACGACCTGCTTTACACCAGCACCTGCAACAAACTCCTTAACCAGTTCGAGGAGAACCTGGCGCAGCGCGTTGACATCACCATCAACCACAATGTTACACAGTTTTTTGGGCTGAACATCACCTACGCGCCAAAAGGAATTCATCTTTCAGCCTCCAAGTACGCAGAGCAGCTGGGGGAACGCTTCAACATTTCACCCGCACCACTCTCCACTCCAGCTACAAATCGGATAACAAACCTCTGTCGCCCGCATGACTCCAACTGTACCAGCAGCAACGGGGGTGCCTGCTGTTCGCCTCAGTCACATGCCGACCCGACCTTTCGTACATCGCCAGCCAACTGGCACAATACTCCCGCAAGCCAGTAGTCGAGAACCAGCTGGACCTGGAACGCGCCCTGCAGTACTTCATCTCCACACCTGACATCAGACTCTCCTACTCCACGTTGACGACAACCTCCTTCAACCTCAACGGCTACGTGGACGCAGATCATGCCGCTGACCCTGCGAATCGACGGTCATGAACCGACTTCGTCTTCCGCTTGGAACCAACTGGACCAACCTCCTGGAACTTACAGAAGCAGGAGCTGGTTGCCCTGTCATCGGCCGAAGCAGAATACATCGCCGCGACAGCAGCAGTTCGCGAAGGTCTGTACCTGCAGGAGCTGCTGTAGGAAGCAAAAATTCCAACTTCGCCTACCTTTCGCCTTCACTGCGACAACCATTGCGCCATCAAGATCGCGAACAAGCCGGGGTTCGTGAACCGCACGAAGCACATTGCACTTCGATACTTCTTCGTCAAAGACGAAATCGACCAGGGCAAATTTGACCTCGCATACTGCCCCACCACTAAGATGGCAGCCGACTTCCTCACCAAGCGACTGCCACTTCACCAGTACAAACCCTTCTCCGACCTCACCGGAGTAGTCAAGCGACTCAGCCCTCTGTGCACCCAGGAATGAAAGGGAGTGTTACAATATGAAATTCAATGAAAAAGACATTCTTGTATGCTGCAGGAGCCGACTCTACCGAGTACGAAGTCGAGAAGTCAGAAGAGTCGAAGCGACACCAGCAAGCAATTGTCAGATCAAGACCGATGCACGCAGTTTGAAATGAAAAGAGCGGGAACAGGTTTGAAACAGGTTCCCGCGTTGCGCGGTTTGAACTTCGCTGCGATAAGGGAATGTACCCTTTAGAGTACATGGCTAGTCTAGGTCTTTTCGTATTCCCTGTATTTCCTATATAAACTCGATGTATGCATGCTATTATCATCTCAGTCATTTTACATTCACTCTGACCTGAGGTCAACACTTCCGCTGCAACACTACCTGCGAACAACCCTGAGCCGATCCCTGGCTAAGTCCCATTTGGGATTGTAACACTTCCAACTCAACTCATCTTCTCTCACTAGTCACCATCCTTGTTGATCGAGTGTGTGCTTCTTGTGTGCATCTTGGTCGGCCAGGCAACCCAAATGCAACAAACTAAAGAATTCTCTCAGTCCGCAATCAGTCTGTTACAAGAGTTCCTCTCGTGTGCTTGCCTTCAGGTTAGGAAGGCAAACATCAGTAGTGTGTGCTCCTTGTGTGCATCTTGGTCGGCCAGGCAACCCAAATGCAACAAACTTAAGACTTCTAAGTCCGCAAACAGTCTGTTACCAGAGTTCCTCTCATGTGCTTGCCTTCAGATTAGGAAGGCAAACATCAGTAGTGAAAAAAACTCACAAGCAGAAAGCACTGGAGCCCAAGGTCCCTCCAACCTCTACTACCCAGCCACTTAATCTCATATGTCTAGTCCTTAATATTTGCTGGGTTCAGGATAGCTAATTGAGCTGGTCTGTAGAAACTAGCTGGCTGACACTGGTTCCTGGGTCCACTTGGCATGCACCGCCTTCCAGTGTGGCGTCTTCCGCATTCACTCCTTCGAAACCTGCCAACAACCGTCGCCAGCTATGACGAGTCTATTCTTTAGTCACTGAAAAAAATAGACTCATCATACGCCGGCACTGCCTTCCAGCCTAGCGTCTTCCGCATTCACTCCTTGGGAACCTACCAACAACAATGACCATCTTTGATGAGTCTATTTTTAAGTCAAATAAAAAATAGACTCATCACGCGCCAGCACCGCCTTCCACTCCTTGGGAACCTGCCAACAACCCTCGCCAGCTTTGCCGAAGTCTCTTTCTCCACCAACTCCGCCTGAAACAACAACAGAAGAATGCAAAACAAGTAAGAACCCCGACTTACAAACTACCTCACCTTAGCTGCTGTGCTAAGCACGCATGTGTCCTCACGTATGTGTTCAAAGATAACTTTCCTTTCTGTATCGCTGTTCCCTTTCTCATGCTCTCCACCCTCTCTCTCTGGTCTCTGCCCTGGTCCACTGAAGCATGCTGTGTATTTTCAGTCCCCTCTCTAAAGCTCACCCTTTCTCCGAAAATTAGTACAGGAATGGTGTTGGCATGTCTTACGGGCCTCAGATTTCAGCGGAAAAAAGGCTGATTTAGGTAAAAACGGCTGAGATTCCAGACTTTTTTTTAGAACCAGGGCTGATTTTCCAGCATTTGTTTTGGGAAAATTACAGGAAAATCTATGAGCTCCCTAGTGTACAAATGACATAATTTGGCTGGTTTGTCTGATTTTCAGTTTTTTTTTTTTTTTTTTTAACATACTCTGATATTCCAGACTAGCCCAAACCAATCTGATGAGGCTTTCCTTACGTTGATTCGACTTATTGACCAACTTCAAGTATCCAACCAATTGTCAAACTAGACGTGCAGTCAATACAATACATAGAAAAGGATTGATACGGCAGTGCACCCATATGGTAGCCATGGTATGGATGATTATGAACTTTTACTTTCATGGATCTCGAAGTCACTCGTTCACACTTTGCAACCAGAAGTTACTTGAGAAGCAATGGAAGGGGGACTTTTTGAAGAAGAAAAAAAAAATCATTGAAGCTATACATAATACAAATATGCACAACTTGTTAATTTAGAACACGTTTTTTTCCCCTAGACATAACGCCCTCCACACATGGCCTCAAGAAGCTCATCTGGCCGCAAATTTACCTGCTGCGATCCATCTGGTTTTACTTCTTTTCGAGAATTTTTTAGATTCCCATGCAGGGACCCATCAGCGCAAGACGCTCTGCTTTTGCTGAAAGGTGCTGCCTTTGGAGTCGACACAAAAGTCGTCCCACGCATCAACCCAACAAGCTCCAGAGCTCTGCTTCTGCTGGAAAGGACCTGTGGCTCCCGCTGCAAAAGCAGATCAGCAGAAAACCAAGAATGGCTACGGCCATGGCTGCTGCAGCTCGAGTCATGCACGCATTCAGGTGCACTGTGGGTGCTCATGCCCTTGCTTACAGCCTTGCGCTTGTCATCGTCTATGCCCTTCCACACGCCTTCGACCATGCCCATGCCCTCATTCATGCCATGGCTCATGCCTTCAACCATGCCCATCCCCACACACTTGATTATGCCCATGCCCTCGTCCATGGCATGAAGCATGCCTGAATCCATGCCGTCATGCATGCCTTCCACCATGCCCATACCCGCGCACTTAATCATGCCCTCGTCCATGGCATCATACATGCTCAAATCCATTCCCATGCTCGTCTCCGCATCTACGCACCTGCTCGTGCCTTCAGCCATGCCCATGCCCACGCCCATGGCCTCATCCCCCATGCCCACACCCGTGCCCTCATTCAAGCTCACGCTCATGCCCTTGCTCATGCTCACATCTATGCCCGTACTGACGCCCTTCCCCATGCCATTCTCGCTTCCACCATCACTGTGCCTTGAGGGCTGGGGAACCGGATGGTGAAGGGAGGGAGACGCGGGTGGTGCAGGCGTGAGAGAGTCCCACACTTGGAACAGCTGATGGTGGGTGTCAGCCTTGCAATATGCTGCAACCGTACAGTCCCCTGAAGCAGCTGCTGCTGATGCCGCTGCTGCTGCTGGTGTTGACGGTGGTGGTGGTGCAGGCGTGAGAGAGTCCCATAGTTGGAACAGCTGATGGTGGGTGTCAGCCTTGCAACATGCTGCAACCGTACAGTCCCCTGAAGCAGCTGCTGCTGATGCCGCTGCTGCTGCTGCTGCTGACTCTGCTGGTGGTGGTGCTGCTGCTGCTGCTGCTGGCGGTGATGGTGGTGGTGCTGTTGCTGCTACCAGTGCTGGTGGTGCTGCTGCTTCTGTTGCTGTTGCTTCTGCTGCTGCAGCTGATGGTGGTGATGATGATGCTCCTGCTGCTACTGTTGACACTGGTTTTGCTGCTGCCACTGAAGGCGCTGAAATGAATTGATTCCAAGACACTGACACTGGCACAGGTGAATGTGATGCTGCTGCTGCTCCTTCTGCTGGCACTGCTGCTAGCACTGCTGATGCCATTGCTGCTGCTTCTGCCAGTGAAGATGCAGGATGAAGGAAGGGACTGGCATGGCGGTCCCACACATGTGTTTCAGCAGCACTTGTAGGAAGGTAACCCCACATATGCGGGGGTAGACCCCGCAGCTGGCGTGATTTTTGGGTCGTCTCACGAACTTCCCCGGGGGTACTTGGAATGTAACCCCACATGTGTGGGGGTAGTCCCCGCAGCTGGCGTGATGGCAGGAGGTGTGCTGGGCGGGAGTGCGATGGGAGGGAGTGTGAAGGGTGGAAGGGTGCTGAGAGGGAATGCGACGGGAGGGAGGCAGACGACAATAGGCGCGAGGGTAGAGAGTGCGATGAGAGGGAGTGAGACGGTAGGGAGTGAGAAGGCAGGAGGCGCGATGGTAAGGAGTGTGCGCGATGGTAAGGAGTGTGCGCGATGGTAAGGAGTGTGCGCGATGGTAAGGAGTGTGCGCGATGGTAAGGAGTGTGCGCGATGGTAAGGAGTGTGCGCGATGGTAAGGAGTGTGCGCGATGGTAAGGAGTGTGCGCGATGGTAAGGAGTGTGCGCGATGGTAAGGAGTGTGCGCGATGGTAAGGAGTGTGCGCGATGGTAAGGAGTGTGCGCGATGGTAAGGAGTGTGCGCGATGGTAAGGAGTGTGCGCGATGGTAAGGAGTGTGCGCGATGGTAAGGAGTGTGCGCGATGGTAAGGAGTGTGCGCGATGGTAAGGAGTGTGCGCGATGGTAAGGAGTGTGCGCGATGGTAAGGAGTGTGCGCGATGGTAAGGAGTGTGCGCGATGGTAAGGAGTGTGCGCGATGGTAAGGAGTGTGCGCGATGGTAAGGAGTGTGCGCGATGGTAAGGAGTGTGCGCGATGGTAAGGAGTGTGCGCGATGGTAAGGAGTGTGCGCGATGGTAAGGAGTGTGCGCGATGGTAAGGAGTGTGCGCGATGGTAAGGAGTGTGCGCGATGGTAAGGAGTGTGCGCGATGGTAAGGAGTGTGCGCGATGGTAAGGAGTGTGCGCGATGGTAAGGAGTGTGCGCGATGGTAAGGAGTGTGCGCGATGGTAAGGAGTGTGCGCGATGGTAAGGAGTGTGCGCGATGGTAAGGAGTGTGCGCGATGGTAAGGAGTGTGCGCGATGGTAAGGAGTGTGCGCGATGGTAAGGAGTGTGCGCGATGGTAAGGAGTGTGCGCGATGGTAAGGAGTGTGCGCGATGGTAAGGAGTGTGCGCGATGGTAAGGAGTGTGCGCGATGGTAAGGAGTGTGCGCGATGGTAAGGAGTGTGCGCGATGGTAAGGAGTGTGCGCGATGGTAAGGAGTGTGCGCGACGGTAAGGAGTGTGCGCGATGGTAAGGAGTGTGCGCGATGGTAAGGAGTGTGCGCGATGGTAAGGAGTGTGCGCGATGGTAAGGAGTGTGCGCGATGGTAAGGAGTGTGCGCGATGGTAAGGAGTGTGCGCGATGGTAAGGAGTGTGCGCGATGGTAAGGAGTGTGCGCGATGGTAAGGAGTGTGCGCGATGGTAAGGAGTGTGCGCGATGGTAAGGAGTGTGCGCGATGGTAAGGAGTGTGCGCGATGGTAAGGAGTGTGCGCGATGGTAAGGAGTGTGCGCGATGGTAAGGAGTGTGCGCGATGGTAAGGAGTGTGCGCGATGGTAAGGCGTGTGCGCGATGGTAAGGAGTGTGCGCGATGGTAAGGAGTGTGCGCGATGGTAAGGAGTGTGCGCGATGGTAAGGAGTGTGCGCGATGGTAAGGAGTGTGCGCGATGGTAAGGAGTGTGCGCGATGGTAAGGAGTGTGCGCGATGGTAAGGAGTGTGCGCGATGGTAAGGAGTGTGCGCGATGGTAAGGAGTGTGCGCGATGGTAAGGAGTGTGCGCGATGGTAAGGAGTGTGCGCGATGGTAAGGAGTGTGCGCGATGGTAAGGAGTGTGCGCGATGGTAAGGAGTGTGCGCGATGGTAAGGAGTGTGCGCGATGGTAAGGAGTGTGCGCGATGGTAAGGAGTGTGCGCGATGGTAAGGAGTGTGCGCGATGGTAAGGAGTGTGCGCGATGGTAAGGAGTGTGCGCGATGGTAAGGAGTGTGCGCGATGGTAAGGAGTGTGCGCGATGGTAAGGAGTGTGCGCGATGGTAAGGAGTGTGCGCGATGGTAAGGAGTGTGCGCGATGGTAAGGAGTGTGCGCGATGGTAAGGAGTGTGCGCGATGGTAAGGAGTGTGCGCGATGGTAAGGAGTGTGCGCGATGGTAAGGAGTGTGCGCGATGGTAAGGAGTGTGCGCGATGGTAAGGAGTGTGCGCGATGGTAAGGAGTGTGCGCGATGGTAAGGAGTGTGCGCGATGGTAAGGAGTGTGCGCGATGGTAAGGAGTGTGCTCGGAAGAAATGTGAAGGGAGGGAGTGTGACGGCGGCACGAGGCATGGCGGCATGTCCCCTTGTGGCAGCAGTAGGCATGGCGGCGGTCCCACTGTCCGTATGCCATCATTGGCATTGTCATCACTCGTGCCACCATGCGGCATGCCCCCTCCCAGCATCTCAGTATCATGCTCTGGGAAGGAGGCGCATGGCATACCGTCACTGGCAATGCCTACACTGGCGGTGCCAACCTTTGTGCCGCCATGCAGGATTTTGTTCAAACTGGCTTACTAAAATACGATCTAGCATACAAGCTTAAACCAGGCTCACCATTTTCATTTCATGGAGTTTGTCTCGCCGTCTCAGTAACACTCAGGTTGATGGACATCAGACCTCCGCAGCCCACCTGTTTACTAATAACAGCATCTCATGGTAATGCGCCGGGAAGGAGGCGCATGTCATGCTGTCACTGGCAATGCCGACACCGGTTGTGCCACATTCTGTGCCGCCATGCAGCACGCCTCCTCCCGCCGTCTCTGTGCAATGCGCCGGGAAGGAGGCGCATGTCATGCCGACACTGGTGGTGTTGTCACTGGCAATGCCGACACCGGTTGTGCCACAATCAGCGATGCCATCACTCGTGCAGCCATGCAGCACGCCAACTCCTGTCGTCTCTGTGTAATGCGCTGGGAAGGAGACACATGTGGTTCCATCACTGGCAATGCCATCACTGGCAATGCTGTCCCTGGCAATGCCAACACCAGTGGTGCCATAATCAACAACGCCGTCACTCATAGAGCCGCCATGCAGCACGCATCCTCCCGGCATCTCATTGTAATCAGCCGGGAAGGATATGCCAATGCCATCATCAGTGATGCTGTCACTGGTGCTGCCGCCCTTGGCCACATCGTGACGCATGACGCCGCCCGCAGCCTCATAATGACGCATTTTGCCGCCCGTGCTCTCATCATGACGCTTGCTGCCACCCATGGCCTCATCTTGAGACACACCACCCTCCAAAGTCGCTTCGGCAATAGCAGTCCCGGAAGCAGCAGCAGGTGCATTCGAGCAGTCGGGCTGGAAGGAAGGGACCAGGAACGCAGACAGGCAGGCAGAAGGGGGAAGAGAAAACGGTTTTTGAGACGTCTCAAAGCGCGCATCCAGGCAGTAGGGCTGGAAGGGACTACAAACACAAGGCAGGAAAGGGGGAAGAAAGGGATGCACCACCAGCTAAGGAGACGGTTGACAGGGTTTCAAATGAGAGCATGGACGGCGGTTGCGGTAAATTGTGTGAGGTGCATCAACGGCAAGAAAGCCCAAAAGAGGACAATTTCAGCAGACAGGGAGCTAGAGAGGGTTCGACGTTTGAACCCCAGGAAGCTGCAATGCCAGTAATCACCTGTGGTGCTCCTTCGGACTGATGAAGCCGTTGCTCTTGGCGTTTGAAAAACTTTCTGTGTTGATTCATGGGTGAACGACAAACAAATGGAAGACTTCAGAGCCGCAAAGATCACAGCGTCTTAAAACACAAGAGAATGCCAGTAAATAAGAATGCCAGTAAATAAGAAGGTCGACACAACAAGTCAGCTTCTGCGTAGAATCAAGAGAGGGAGAAAAACATCTTGAAAACATGGGCGCGAGGAGAAGCAGAGCTCGACTCGAGCACAGGAAATCAATTCGGACAATCCAACCATGCACATTCTCAAACACGACACAGCTACAAAGCCAATCTCACCTCTTGAGAAGACATTTGAGTCGCCTCTTGAGGCGACTTTTGAGGCGCCTCAAAAGTCATTCTCAAACACGACACAGCTACGAAGCCCATCTCACCTCTTGAGAACGATGAATCGATTGCAGCAGGCCTTGCTGTCCCGGCCTGGCAGCAGCCCCGCATTGACAACGGCCCTCCACTGCCTCGTGCCGTGCGCTGCCACGTGCAGCAGCAGCTTGCGATCCTCCTGAGATTAAGAAAAAAAAAAGGGGGGGGGGGGGGGGGGGGGGGGGGGGGGGGGGCGAAAGAGAAGGCAGAAGAGAAAGGATGTTCGATTAGAAGGTAACATGCGCTGCGCCGTGCAGCAGCAGCTTGCGGTCCTCCTGAGATTGAGAAAATGAGGGGCGGAGGGGAGGAAAATATTCTTGATGAAAGGCAGGCAGCATGTGTTGCCACGTGCATCAGCAGCTTGCGGTCCTCCTGAGATTCAAATGAGAGGAGGGAGAGAAGAAAGGACATTCAGGATGCTGAGCAGAGGTATGTGCAGCAGCAGCATGCGGTCTTTTTGAAAGGATTGAGAGATGTAAGAATGGGAAGAAAAGAATGCTTAAGGAGACCAAATGCTAAGCATCAGAACATGCAGCAGCAGCAGCAGCAGCAGCAGCAGCAGCAGCAGCAGCAGCAGCAGCAGCAGCAGCAGCAGAGTTCGGTCCATTTGGGAGTGAAGAGTGGAGCACGGAAATACTATTTCCGAAAAGTGGGGGTACAATGGCGTTTCAGGAAGCGAAAAATGTTGCGACCAATGTCGGTCTTGCTGAGATTGACAGCAGTGGAAAATACAAAACAAGAGGGAAGCAAACAAGCAAGAGGAGCAACGAGAAAGGACAGAGCTGAGCAAGGGAGCAATAAGCAAGGGAAAATCGAGATAGCGGCAAGGTACTGCGTCAGATAGCAAAGCAAAGCTGCATCTGCAGCTTGCCTACCTCCGCAGTCCACAGGAGCCCCACATGCCGGGATCGTGCCACCATTCTCAAAGCCCACACGACCTTCCAAGCTTGACACGTCCGATTCTTGAGTCCCAGCTGCAGATTCTTAAGGTTTTAACGTTGGACGTGTCTGGGCGTGTGAGCGTCCCGCGGCCTCCCAGCCGATTCTCCAGGCTTGGACGTGTCTGGACTGGACGTCTGAGCGTCTCTATTCTTCTGCCGCCGATATTGTGAGTGGGGGCACCGCTGTGAAGCTGCGACGACGCTGTAGAGTTAGTCAGGGTCTGGGCTAGCCGTCTGCGTGATTTCACAAGGTTGTTCCCAGTTCTGCCAATGGTTGAACCACCTTGGTGACAAGAGGAGTAATGTGGGTCAATAAAAGAGCCTCTTTTAGGGTTGAGCCAGGTTGCCGAGGGTGAGTGAGTCAGAGTGGAGAAGCACAGAGCGGACTTGATAGGCTATCAAGTAGAGATAGTAAAACTCCTGGATTTTATGCATGTTAAATGGCGTGATGGTCTCTCAGTATTTAGAGAGCTTTTATGCTTTATCGTGCATGAAATTCATGTCACAGCACAGCTAGTAGATGCATGAACCACGGGAAAGCTGAGACTCGGAAGCCCCTGTGGGAGTAGTTGAACTATTTTATCACTCCAAGGTGGTACTAGTACCCGACACGCACATCGGGTGGATACATGCGCAGCTACTAGTACTGGTACACTCATTTCCAAGCCTTTTGGCAAATCTCGAAGGGTAGACAGACAGCTTGCGAAGCGGGCCGCTGATCCCTGTTCGTGGTCCTTCGGAAGCAGCACTGGCAGTATGCGGGCTGGTACTACTTGTCGCAATTTGTCCTCGCTCGACCAATATTATATTTTTTTCTTAAGTCGAATGACTACCGCGATCCACGCTCCCACTGGCAGTAAAAATGCGCATAAGTCAGGCTAGAGTCGGTGATGTTTGGACCTTCCTCGAGTTGTTCGCGCAGAAAATCAGAGCGTTACGGCTCTACGAAACGGCTTTTACTGGTACATCCTGAGGTTTGCTCGGTACATTCTAAAACACGTGAAAATTACCGCTGTGTGTTCGCGAACCAGCAAAAACAACAACTCATGGCATTCCCGAGAGCAGCCTACGTGTTTCCTGCTTTACTGTAGCCCGAGTTCCTCCCCCGGCGGCCTCGCGTGCGCGGGATGGCGACGACAAACGACGCCATCAGGTCGCTTTTGGGCCTCGAAGACGAGGGGAACTCCTCGACCCGTCTGGTCTGGACTAGAGTATTAAAACCAGCAACATAACAATGGCGTCATGTGACGTTGTAACGAAATCAGATCTGGATCGATTTGAAGGAACGAAACATCGCAGAAGCAGAAATCGTGTCTGCTGATCTGGAGGAAATAGGAGGCGTGTGGGAGGAGGGAAGGTAACGGGGTTTGCTTTGCTGTGTACAGTGCAGACGGGAGGGATGCACGAACCGAGCAAAAAAAGGACAAACACACTAGAGTTTTTTTCACGTGAACCGCACGTGCCCGATGTATTTAGGGTGAAAAGGCGAGGCCAATACATTGAGCAACCCTATCCATACGAGACGGAATGGAGGGATGAGATGCTCGTAAATGTGGCCGAAACGAGATGATTCTGGATTTCACTTGAGTAATTACCCGAACCCAAAACCAGAGATAGCCACGGTTACAAAATAACTACTCGAAAATAACTACTCGAAAATACTTGCGCCGTGCAATCAATTGTGCCGCACAAAGCAATACAATCAATACATTGAGAAAGCTTGCTTTCTGTTCTTGCAAGACATCGTGCTTCATTACAATTGCAGTAATTACAACGTTCTCGTCCAATCTATAAATTATACAAGTACCATATTTGACTGGGGGGGGTGGGTGGGGAGTGGAACTGCAAGTTCGAAATGAAGACGTAGGTGGAGGCCAAATGGCCTCCAACCCTCGTTATGTACTCGGCGAATTGTAATTCGCCGTTGCCTTGCTGCGATACAGTTACCGTAATCCCCCGGATACACGACCCCGGGTGTTGTGTTAGTACGCCCTGAAAATGAGGGGGTGGGTGCACTATTGCGGGATGAGCGTATTGCACCCGGGTCTGTAATTTTGCGTCAGATGTTATAAACGCTTAGCAATATGCAGTGTTGTTTCTGCTATCCAATGGTTCTAAATTGGTTGTGTTTACGTGGGTTGGCTCGATCGACCCGGGTTCAAGAACGTGGGTGGATATAAGAAATGTGATTGGTCAGATTGTGCAAGGTCAAGCACGTCAAGAGATGCACGTTGGCGAGCCGAGACAGAACGTAACGAGAACGTGCACCCAAACACAGGCGCGTGTGGTCAAACGCGCCCAATTGTCACACGTTGGGGAGCCGCTTTGTACAGAGCCACACGAATGTGTGTCTATTGGAATAGCAGCGAACATCCACTCGGTGCTTTATTCTGCTCCCAGTCACCAGTCTGGGTCATTCCCGTCTTATTTTCACGATGGCTGGCAAGGGGCCTGAGAAAGTAGTTTGGTTTCGACGTGGTGGCGAAGTGGCTTCAGACGATGACGAGAGCTCTGGCGACAAGGATTTTGAAACCGACGAGCTTAGTGACAGCTCCTTGGAAATGCCCAATGTCAAAGTGCCTTCTTTCCCACGCGCTGAGGAAACAACGGAGGACGAATCTAGGTCTAACGCCGATCGCAGACCGTCATCGCCACGGACGAGGTTGACGGGCCGGAAACGGCGCTCGTTTAGCTTCCATGAGAAGCTCATGTGGGTTTCTATGTTTGATGCTAGCCCTGCTCCTTCCGTTCATTCTGTTGCTAAGTTGGCTAATGTGCAGCCAGCCATGATTAGAGAGTGGGTTAAAATGAAAGCCAAGATGATTGAAGCTGCACCGAGCAGGAAACGGATGCGTGGAGGGGGCAGGAAGTCGAAGTACCCTGACATGGAGCAGGGCGTATACACGCGGTACCTTGGCGCTCGCAGGCGCGGGTTGCCGGTATCGGTGGGACTTCTGCAAACGTGGAGCCGAGATTGGATGAAGATACACTATGCCGCCAAACCATGGCAAGCGTCGTCGCGTTGGTCATTCCGATTCCGCCGCCGGTGGGGCCTTTCCGTGCGGGTCAAGACGAAAATGGGCCAGCGATTACCCGCCGGTAAGTTTGTGTAATCTTCGTTGTCACAGTCAACTACACCGTATTCCTGACGCCTGTATGCTTTATTTGTGCAGATGTCGCGCCGAAATGCGAGAGCTTTTGGCAGTTTTGCCGCCAGATGGTCGTCAAGAGGGAGATTCAGGCGGAGAACATCATTAATGCCGACCAAACCTCCGTGTACCTAGAAATGCCGCAGGAACGGACGCTCGAACGGCGTGGCGCAAGAACAGTCCACGTCCGAACTGCTGGATACGAAAAAGAAAGAATCACAGTCATGTTGTCTTGCACGGTGACGGGAGAGAAGCTCCCGCCTTATGTTGTCTTTAAGCGAAAGACCACACCAAACTGCTACACACCGAGGGGTGAGTGTGCAAGTTCATGCTCGGTGATGACTACACAGATTGCCCTCGCTTACCACGTGCGATGTTGTTGTGTGCGCAGATGTCATCGTTCGTGCGCAAGAGAAAGGGTGGATGGACGACAATCTCGTCCGTGACTGGGTCACCCGCGTCGTGGCGCCATTCACGGCAACGACCAAAGGACCACGACCGGCAACACTAGTGGTTATGGATTCGTACAAAGGGCACCTCACCCCTGCTGTCCGTCAGACGCTCTCGCTGTTCCGTCTTTTCCCCGCTGTCATTCCGGGCGGATGCACTCCTTACGTGCAACCACTCGACATGAGCGTCAACAAGAGCTTTAAGGCGGGGATGAAGATGTCAGAATGTTATTCTCTAGCCTGTAGTGGGGTGCTCTGTAGCGAGTACAACCCATCTAGGGTTTGCTATATGTATCCTCATTGCTGCTAGTGAAAACCCTCTTCTTTTGCCTAAACTGTCTCTTGCCTAGCTAGGACTCTCCTAGCTATGGCTCCTAACACTACATACTATT